TGATATAAATACTATTGCCATATATAAATAAATGTCAATATATGTATCAATATATATACAAATATGGATCGTGGACATACACTATATCACTAACAATCTCCCACTTGCACTAGATCCAATTTATCATGTACATCATTTATAACTTCCACTTATGCTTATCAAACTCCTTTGCACCAAGAGCTTTAGTGAACGGGTCAGCTGCATTATCTTTTCCATCAACCTTTTGAATTTTAACCTCCCCACGTTTAATGATTTCTCTAATCAAGTGGTACTTACGCAGAATGTGTTTGGACTTTTGATGCGATCTCGACTCTTTTGCTTGAGCGATCGCTCTAGTATTGTCACACAATAATGGAACTAAACCTTCTATTGAAGGAACCACACCAAGTTTAGTTAAGAACTTCTTCATCCAAATAGCTTCTTTAGCAGCTTCACTTGCCGCTATATATTCTACTTCGGTTACTAAGTTAGCTACCGTAGCTTGTTTGGAATTTTTTTAATGCATTGCACCACCATTTAAGGTGAACATATAACAAGATATCAATTTGCTATCATTTTTATCTGAAGCAAAATTTGCATTGGTATAACCTTCCAGTTTTAACTCAGATTCTCCGTAGATGAAAAATTGTTCTTTAGTTCTTCTTAGGTACTTAAGAATGATCTTTACCATTTTTCAATGTTCCTCATCAGGATTTGCCTGAGATTGGCTAGTCATTTCTAGTGCATAAGCCACATCAGGACGTGTACATGTCATAGTATACATGATAGCTCCTATTGCATTAACATACGTGACTTTACCCATTCTTTGTAACGGCCCCGGAAATTTAAAATGAAATATGTGTATTAAAAATGTCAAATGCGGAAGCGAAGTCAAAATTTCGATTAACATCCCTTACACTAAAACAAAAAACGTGTTCAAAATATAAAAGATCAAACTAACTAAAAGAGAGACTCGAAAGTAAAAGCTTTGAATATGACTATGGAGTCTTTAGGCGTCCCCTTCGTCGTCTTCCTGCGCGACGG